AGTTGAATAATTTTTTGATATGTAGTACTAATTTTTATGGCAAAAAATAACAAATAACTTGTGCTGTTTTTGAGTCAAAAAGTGTCAATATTAGTATTATTTTCACTGGAACGTGCTTTATGAAATGTGATTTGTTGTAATAGCCTGGCCAACACAGCCGAAAGGCTAGACATAGTGGCAACGATAGCCGTCCCTGTAATAAAAAGAAGACCTACTAATTAATACACAGTCCCAATCAGGGCTAACTGTTATCAAAACACTTCGATCTCGGAGAGATTGTTGACATGACACCGAAAGCAGGTGCGTGCTTAATTTTAACGCTAGTGCGCAAGCGCGGGCTGATCGAGAGGGGCTCTCGATGACTTTGCGGTTCGGTGAAAAAACACAAAAGTGACGTTCTATAGAATCTTGACTGGGGCAGATCGAGTCGCCAATCCCCTCTATATATACTGTCCCTGCACAAGCATATATAACCTGCTCACATGACAGACTAATCAGTGAAACCTTGTTGGAGTTTCCCTGAATAAACAATGAATGAGAATCCTACTTATTAAAGTTATAGCCTAAAACATGTCAGATATCAGTTCATACAACAAGAGGCCCACGGGCCTTAACGGTCACCTGAGTCCTACAGTATTTATTTTTGTTGTTGAAATATGTACCAATTTGAGCAAAAAATAGTTAAGTATAATGTTAACTTAACTTTGTCAGGACCATGAGCTGATCATTCCTAGACCGATTTTCAGTGAGATCAGCCTATTAGAACTTGTTTAAGTTTGAAATAGGTATTTACAAAATAGCGGCCATGGCAGCCAAATTGTATTTCTGATTGACCCGAAAAATAACAACACTTTGTCAGGACCATGATTCGATCATTCCTACAAAGTTTCAGTTCAATCGGCCAAGTAGAACTTTACTTTAAGTTTGAAATAGTTTTTCAAAATAGCGGCTGTGAAGGCCATATTGGATTTCTGATCGACCTGAAAAATACCAACACTTTGCCAGGACCATGAGTCGATCATTCCTACAAACTTTCAGTTCAATCGGCCTAGCAGAACTTGACTTTAAATTTGAAATAGTTTTTCAAAATGGCGGCCATGGCGGCCATATTGGATTTCTGATTGACCTGAAAAATAACAACACTTTGTCAGGACCATCAGTTGATCATTCATACAAACTTTCTGTTCAATCGGCCTAGCAGACCTTGACTTTAAATTTGAAATAGTTTTTCAAAATGGCGGCCATGGCGGCCATATTGGATTTCTGATTGACCTGAAAAATAACAACACTTTGTCAGGACCATAAGTAGATCATTCCTACCAACTTTCAGTCAATCCCCCCAGCAGAACTTGACTTTAAGTTTGAAATAGGTATTTTCAAAATGGCGGCAGTGGCGGCCATATTGGATTTCTAATAGCCCGAAAAATAACAACACTTTGCCAGGACCATGAGTCGATCATTCCTACAAACTTTCAGTTCAATCGGCCTAGCAGAACTTGACTTTAAATTTGAAATAGTTTTTCAAAATGGCGGCCACAGCGGCCATATTGGATTTCTGATTGACCTGAAAAATAACAACACTTTGTCAGGACCATAAGTAGATCATTCCTACCAACTTTCAGTCAATCCCCCCAGCAGAACTTGACTTTAAGTTTGAAATAGTTTTTCAAAATAGCGGCTGTGAAGGCCATATTGGATTTCTGATCCACCTGAAAAATACCAACACTTTGCCAGGACCATGATTCGATCATTCCTACAAAGTTTCAGTTCAATCGGCCAAGTAGAACTTTACTTTAAGTTTGAAATAGTTTTTCAAAATAGCGGCTGGGAAGGCCATATTGGATTTCTGATCGACCTGAAAAATACCAACCCTTTGCCAGGACCATGAGTCGATCATTCCTACAAACTTTTAGTTCAATCGGCCTAGCAGAACTTGACTTTAAGTTTTAAATAGGTTTTCAAAATGGCGGCCGTGGCGGCCATATTGGATTTCTGATTGACCTGAAAAATAACAATACTTTGTCAGGACCATAAGTAGATCATTCCTACCAACTTTCAGTTCAATCCCCCCAGCAGAACTTGACTTTAAGTTTGAAATAGTTTTTCAAAATGGAGGCCGTGGCGGCCATATTGGATTTCTGATCGACCCCGAAAAATAACAACACTTTGTCAGGACCATGAGGCGATCATTCCTACCAACTTTCAGTGCAATCGGCCCAGCAGAACTTGACTTTAAGTTTGAAATGTTAAATGTTAACGGACGACGGACGACGACGGACGAAAACGGATAGCAATAGGTCACTTGAGCTAAAGCTCAGGTGACCTAAAAATTCAGTCCTAGTGGTGACACCCAGACAATTCTCATGTTACAGTGATGTCATCAGTTGTTGTGTATAATGGCAATTCATTAATAGTAGCGTTATGGTAACACTGTAACTTACTGTTAGTTTGCATTACTTCTTGTTTCAAATATGGAGGTGACAGAATGGTAAGGACCATTTACTCCCTTGATGAAGGGATATCTGAAGTTTGGATCTAAAGTGACAGTTAATATTTACTGTATTATGTTCCTTGTAGGAACACTGCTAGTTTTCTTTTAACCTACAGTATACCTAAGTGAAAACTTGGTTAGTCTTGGTAAGAGAACTGTAAGATTTGACCAAAAAAGAACTTTGGTGAAACTTAAAAAATATTTTTCAATAAATATACAACATTTGATATAGCACCCTACCTAGCTAACATAAGCTACTCTAAAGCACTTTACAGTACATAGATATACAATTTTATACAGTCAATACAATAAGCATGTATATATTAATCAATACAATATTGAGGAATTCGCAGGAGCTGCCTTATAATTATCAGGCGCTAAGTACTACCGTAAAAAAAACCATGTAATTTGCACACTTTTTTTTCAGAAATTTAATACCCAAAGTGGGGGGTGCGTAAAATACACAGGTATAAGCAATTTGAAGTTTTTTTCATGAAAAGATCGACGATTCTGGCAGACCGCCATCTTGGAAACAACTCACGGAACTCAAAGACAAACGACGATCAACACATTTATTTATGTCAAACATCAATAAAAGATCAATTGATACATACTGTGTTGTTACCTGAGTTTATGTGAAAAGTATTATTAAATAGGTAACCGTTAACAAAGAAAGTTTAGCCAAATTCCTATGCCAGAGAATCGCTGATCAACTTACGTTTCCACATCTCGGTGCGTTTTCCCCATACTATTACGAAAATGTAGTTGTTCAATTTAAGCTCCGTTCCATGTAAGTTATGCTAGGTTTTTTTTCAAATCGCCTATGCGTACAGCATGGGTTTTTTCCCGGCTCACTTTCATGTTGATCTCGCGTCTAACATTATTTAAACACGTGATTGATAATAACCTTGTGAATTATTTCAATATTTATCAAATGAAGCATCGTAAAAAACAGTCTGCTTTAATATTTTTTCCTTGGAGTAGATTTAAAGAGGATGTATTGATTGATTGTATTAGTCCTATGCCACCAGGGCCCACTCGTATAAAACATCTCAAAGTTAAGGAAAATCTCAAGCAATGTATTGTCTATGGTAAATCTTAAGACTTGAGGAAATCTCAAGAGTTAAGATGTTTTATACAAGTGGGACCTGGATAATATCTCCCTAAGTGTGTATGCCTGTGTGTGTGCTGGAGATGTATTGTGTTCTGTTTGTAGTGGGACCATGCTTCCAACGGTATAATTTATAGTGCCACCTCACTTGAATGCTACAGCACAGATACCATTAACCACTCGACCAATCCGCCCTTAAACAGCGATGTAATTTAATGTTTCAGTGACTAATAGCACCAGGCATGTACATGTATTTGATATTGTATTTATTTCAGAGCATTACCAAGTTTGGAATACCAATCACTGCCTGGTGTGGACCATTTAGTGTGTGTGTGTATTTACATCGGGTGTTTACTGTCGCAAAAGTTTGTTTGGTCGGAGCTGGGATAATGTTTAACGACCAAATAAATCTGTCCATTTCGTAAGAAGTAAGAAGAGCCTGATCAGCTTGCTGTAAATAAATTGTTTCAGATAAGTTTGTGAGTCTATGTTCTTCATGACTTGTATCCACGATCTACAATTGTATTTGTATGTTGCTTGATTTTGTTGCCTCGCAGGCACAGGCACTGTTGTCAGTCATGATTTAAATTGTTTGTAGTGTCTAACTTAACAGTTATTTCATCTAAAATGTTCCACTTGTCATTTATCCTTGGGAAATTATTTTTTTGGAAGATGTCACTCTTGCGATAACTTAAACTGGTAAACTTGTTTTCATACATTTTTTCCTCACTTTGCTGATACAGGGTTTCAAATATTGATCAGGGGATGACTACTCGACCGTTGATGATTTTATACAGCATTGTTGACACTCACCATTCTCGTAGTTTGTCTGCAAGACCTGTCAGGTCAAGAGATTCTTATTCATGCTGTTGCATATTTCCAGCAGGTCAATGTCTCTTTGTACAGTATATAAGGATTTATATATAAGAGTGTCACTGTTTTAGATTTTTTAATTTCTCCTTAGAAATCCAACAATGAATTTTGCTCTTTTGTTGATATACAATGAAAATTTGAGATTGTCACTGATCAGGATGCCTTAATACAAGTTGTCGTTCACTTAAGCTCCAGTACTTGTGTCCAAGTTGAGTATAAATGTTCTTTCGTCTCTCTAGATCAATGAAATCTCAGAACTCATGACATGTGTCCACGGTCTACATGTCCATCATTGACAAAGTGATGTTGTTTTCTCCTTCCATTTACGGACAATTATTTTCCCATTTGGTACCGCCTTTTTTATTTATTTCATTTTATGTTTTTGCACATATACACATAAACATGTCAGTAGAGATGAAAGTGTCTTTTACCCTCCCATATTTTATGTAATACAGTATAACTATGTAGTTCGTTGTATTAATAAAGACATTGTGTATTTACTGTTTTATTTTCAATTTATTGCAGGCAGTGGTCAGGAGATCTCCCACTTGTATTCTGTCTCGTGATTATTCACATGAAAGACGGTCTGATAGAAAGGGCATCGTCTTGTCCTCGGAGCATTAAACCTGGATACTGCACTCTACATCTGTAACGATACACACGCTAAAAGGCTGGCATACTGGATCATACTGATGGACAGGTTCCTTTGAAGGCTAACTAACAAATAAATGACTGATTGCAATTGTTTCATGAGTCTTTAAAGCAGCCATCATTGATACTCTAAACCAGCATCATTACAACTGTGTTTATAAAGAATTTTCCTATGATCAATGTACATAGAACATCTTACTGTACAACTGATCAATGGATTGTATAAAATCTACTTGAATACATTCCAAACTGGGGACAAATTAGGGAAAATACATTTTTAAACTGTTTAAAGCATGCACCAAAGTCTTGTTTTGGATATAAATGACAGACTAGTACAGCTTGTGTTATGACAAGGAGTAAGGAGACAAAGAGACGTTTCTAAACTTATGACAAGTATATCAAGCAAAAGGGATGTTTATCCATTCAAATCAGCGGAAAGTCACCATTTGGATTCAAAATGACAGACTATAATGTTTTAAAGTGTTCCAAGCTAGGTTTACACTGTTTGAAACTCAAACTACTCCAATGAATGTGACAAAGCAAACATTCAGAATGGATAACGAAAGTGATGTTGGATTATTAAGTGAGGTATCTATAGATTCCAGTAACATCACAAGTTACCAGTATTACCAGTCTTGGAGGGATATGTCTGACGTAGTGTATGGCATTATCTCAGCTTTCCTCATTCCATGCATTTGTAGTGGCAACTTACTTGTACTCATTTCACTTTGGAAGTTCCCTAAACTGCGTACAAAGACAAACATTTTTGTGGCCAATCTGAGCATTGCCGATTCAATAATGGGTGCAGTGTCAATTCCTATGTACACAGCATTCTTTTTCAATCGGGAAAAGCTAGAGAAATACAAGTACATGTGCATCTCAAAGTATTCTATAGTGGTTTTCTCGTCGAGTGCTTCGTTGCTGAGTCTGGTAGCCATCGCTGTGGACAGGTACATAGCCGTCATCCATCCCTTGAGATATCATGTGATCGTGACTCACAAACGAATCAAATGCTTCCTGATTGGTCAGTGGACATACGACCTTGTGACTTTCACCATTCCGTACTTCTGGAACAACTATGACTTGTATCAGAGCTGCAACTTCTATGTGATCTTCCCACGTATCTATTCTGTGTTGACCGTTTTTGTTTCCATCGCAATCTGTTTGGTTGTATCACTGTATTTGTACATCAGGATCTTCCTGGTTGCTAGGATACATCGCCGTCGCCTCAACATACCACAGCTCACGGAAGGTAACAATGATAAACAGTTACGGAAGGATGCAAAGTCAGCTAAAATCATGGCTCTCATTCTGTTCCTGTTCTTTATTTTCTGGCTCCCGTTTCTCTTGGTCGGACCCATACGGTATTTGGGCGTCGCAGAAGACTTGATGGTGATATTCAAAAACATAACATTATTGATAGCCATGAGCAACTCCATGGTGAACCCAATTGTGTACTGTTGGCTAAGAAGGGACTTCACTATAGCCTTCAAAAGGCTGTGTTGTTCTTGTAACATCATACAAAAGAGAAACGGAGTCATGGAGTACAGCATACAAAGCAATAACCACAGCACAAAGTCAAACAGTGAGGACAACCATGTCCTAAGATCAGCCGGACAGAGTTCAGATCCTGAAAGGTTGGATGGCATTGGACAGGGTGTGGAAATAATAGCTCATAGGAGACTGGACTAGTTACCACGGAAATAACTTGTCAAACAACATCTACAGAAGGTAATAGACTCTTGATGGTATGAAACCAATGGCATGAGAGAAGTTAGATGGTATTGCAAAGCCCATACTGAGGACTTACCATAGAAACCCATGCCGCAGTCAGTGGACTATAAAACCTAGGGGTGAATGTAAATACATAAATATACATGTAAATATTTTGACATTTACTGTGTAGGTTGTTTTTTCTGTGAATACAAACATTTTCAAATATTTGTTTTAGGGTAGAGAGGAGACACCACTTTTCTACAATTTGAAAATATTCTTTTCCTGTAATTTAAATTTGTACAAAGACAATTACATGTACATTTTGATGACTTTACAAGAACTCCGACATAAAGCACAGAGAATTATAGCTATCTGCTTTATAATGATAAGTCCGCAGATTCAACCCCTACAGCCGACCTGAGCTGTTTTTGTGACAAAGAAGATTAATATATTTATATTTCTTTCATATATAATTACGTTTGCTTTATACCAAATATGGACAAAATACTGTCATTCCTACAAAAGAAAAAGAAAAATCTTAAAGAATTTGCCAAATTACCCCTATTGGGCCCCACCCCTCAGGCCCCAGGGGGGGTTCATACCCACAATTTATACATAATTTTCCCTCCCAATAGGATCCGATGCTACTGTTCAAATTTGGTCAAAAAACCTTCATCCCAATGGAAGAACAAGAGGCCCAGGGGCCTTAATAGCTCACCTGGTATTTTATTTTTCAATTTAAAACCTGCTGAGTACCATTCAGGTTTATCAAAGGAGTACAAGAAACAAAGTTGCAAAAAGAACTACATATAAATCTGTTTTGGTGGGAAAGACAACAAGAAAATGAGTTTTTATGTTATGTCCCAATTTCCCTCTATTTCCCCTATTGGGCCTCACATGCACCTTTTCCTTTTTATACAAATTAAACAAATTGAGTTTTTTTCCCCTAAGCATGCTTCAGATCACATTTGGTTTAAATCCCTTCATTTGTACAGAAGGGAAAATATTTTCCTTTATTTACCCTAATGGGTCCCACTCATCTGCCCCAAAGAAGGGGGTCCATATACCTCAGTTGAAACAAAATTGATTCTTTTGTCCCTAAGCATGCTTCAGACTGCATTTGGTTTAAATCCCTTCTCTTGTATAGTAGGAGAAAAAAAATCCTCTATTTCCCCTATTGGGCCCCGCCCCTATGCTCCCAGAGGGGCCACACCCTCCGTTTATACAAACTTGAGTCTCCTTTGTCCAAAGATGCTCTAGGACAAATTGGGTCAAAATCCTTCTATTGGTTGAGAAGAAGAAGATTTTTAAAGATTTACCTATTTTCCCCCTTTTTGGCCCCGCCCCTCTGCCCCCAGAGGGACCATACCCTCCTTTTAACCAAAACTGAGAACCCTTTGGCTAATGATACTCCAGACCAAATTTGGTCAAAATCCCTTCATCGGTACAAAAGGAGAAGGATCTTTGATGTTTTCCTCTATTTCCCCTAATGGGCCTCACCCATCTGCCCCTAGAAGGGGGCCCACACACCTCAGTTTATACAAAATTGATTCTTTTGTCCCAAATCATGCTTCAGACTGCATTTGCTTTAAATCCCTTCACTTGTATAGCAGGAGAAAAAAAAACCTCTATTTCCCCTATTGGGCCCCGCCCCTCCGCCCCCAGAGGGGCCACACCCTCCGTTTATACAAACTTGAGTCTCCTTTGTCCAAAGATGCTCTAGGACAAATTGGGTCAAAATCCTTCTATTGGTTGAGAAGAAGAAGATTTTTAAAGATTTACCTATTTTCCCCCTTTTTGGCCCCGCCCCTCTGCCCCCAGAGGGACCATACCCTCCTTTTAACCAAAACTGAGAACCCTTTGGCTAATGATACTCCAGACCAAATTTGGTCAAAATCCCTTCATCGGTACAAAAGGAGAAGGATCTTTGATGTTTTCCTCTATTTCCCCTAATGGGCCTCACCCATCTGCCCCTAGAAGGGGGCCCACACACCTCAGTTTATACAAAATTGATTCTTTTGTCCCAAATCATGCTTCAGACTGCATTTGCTTTAAATCCCTTCACTTGTATAGCAGGAGAAAAAAAACCCTCTATTTCCCCTATTGGGCCCCGCCCCTCCGCCCCCAGAGGGGCCACACCCTCCGTTTATACAAACTTGAGTCTCCTTTGTCCAAAGATGCTCTAGGACAAATTGGGTCAAAATCCTTCTATTGGTTGAGAAGAAGAAGATTTTTAAAGATTTACCTATTTTCCCCCTTTTTGGCCCCGCCCCTCTGCCCCCAGAGGGACCATACCCTCCTTTTAACCAAAACTGAGAACCCTTTGGCTAATGATACTCCAGACCAAATTTGGTCAAAATCCCTTCATCGGTACAAAAGGAGAAGGATCTTTGATGTTTTCCTCTATTTCCCCTAATGGGCCTCACCCATCTGCCCCTAGAAGGGGGCCCACACACCTCAGTTTATACAAAATTGATTCTTTTGTCCCAAATCATGCTTCAGACTGCATTTGCTTTAAATCCCTTCACTTGTATAGCAGGAGGAAAAAAACCCCTCTATTTCCCCTATTGGACCCCGCCCCTCCGCCCCAAGAGGGGCCACACCCTCCGTTTATACAAAACTGAGAACCCTTTGGCCAATGATGCTCCAGACCAAATTTGGTCAAAAATCCTTTGAGCCGTTCAGGACTAGTAGCGTTTTAAAGGAAAAAGTTGCCGGACGCCGGACGCCGGACATCGGACGACGGAAGCTGCGGCATGGGATAAGCTCACTTGGCCCTAAAAAAGCTAAAAAAGGATATTAAAGCTATTCCTCTATATCCCTTATTGGGCCTGCCTCTCTGCCCCCAGGGGGTTCAGGCCCACCGTTTATACAATATTGGTTACCCTTCACCGAAGGATGCTTCATACCAAGTTTGGACAAAATCCTGTCATTCCAACAGCAGAAGAAGAAATTTGATGAATTTGCTAGGTTTCCCCTATTGGGCCCTGTCCCTCTGCCCCCAGGGGGACCACACTCACTGTTTATACAAAATTGAGTCCCCTTGGCCCAAGGATGCTCCAGACTAAATTTAGGATAAAATCCTTTAATCCCTATGTTAGAAGAAGGATTTTTAAGGTTTTACCTCTATTAATTTCCCCTATTTGGCCCCGTCCCTCTGCCCCCAGGCGAACCAACCCACTGTTTATACAACAAGAGGCCTGTATCGCTCACCTGAATATTTAAGCAGTCATAGCAAAATATTCTCATTAAATATTATATTGCACTAAAAATATTTCCCTCGCAAACTTTGTTGGCTCCATCTGTTGATGGAGCAAAATATTATTACAAGAATTTATGCTTTTTGATTCTTCAGAAGATGCTTGACATATTTTTCCCTGTGACCTTGTAAGTAGATCAATGTCATTTTCCTTCTCAAATAGGTTAGCTCTATTCCAAAAGCTACCAGCCAAATCTTATGAATCCATTCCAATAAAAGGTTGTTGACCTCTGTGACCTTGAAAGAAGGTCAAGGTCATTTTCATCCTCAAACTTTGTCAGGCTCTATCCAAGGAAGCCATCAATCAAATATATAGATTCTATACCAGAAGAAGTCAATTGAAGCTTTTGACACATTTGACCCCTGTGACCTTGAAAGTAGGTCAAACTAATTTTCATTCTCAAACTTTGTTGGGCTCTATCCCAGGAAGCCACCAGCCAAATATAAAGATTCTACACGATTTAGTTCTTCAGAAGAAGTCGTTTGAAGTGTTTGACACAATTGACCCCTGTGAACTTGAAAGTAGGTCAAGGTCATTTTCATTCTCAAACTTTGTTAAGCTCCATCTCAGGAAGTCATCAGCCAAATATGAAGATTCCATTCCTTTTAGTTCTTCAGAAGAAGTCGTTTGAAGTTTTTGACATATTTGACCCCTGTGACCTTTAAAGTAGGTCAAGGTCATTTTCGTTCTCAAACTTTGTAGGGCTCTTTCCTGGGAAGTAACCAGCCGAATATTAAGGTTCTATAATTTCCAGTTCTTCAGAAGAAGTCATTTGAAGTGTTTGACATATCTGCCTCATGTGACCTTAAAAGTAGGTCAAGATCATTTTCATTTAAAACTTTGTTGGGCTCTTTCCTAGGAAGATACAAGCCAAATATAAAGATTCTATACTTTTCAGTTGTTCAGAAGAAGTTGTTTGAAGTGTCTGACACATTTGACCCCTGTGACCTTGAAAGAAGGTCAAGGTCATTTTCATCCTCAAGTTTGTCAGGCTCTATCCCAGGAAGCCATCAATCAAATATAAAGATTCTATACATTTCAGTTCTTCATTAGAAGTTATTTGAAGCTTTTGACACATTTGACCCCTGTGACCTTGAAAGTAGGTCAAACTAATTTTCTTCCTCAAACTTTGTTAGGCTCTATCCCAGTAAGCCACCAGCCAAATATAAAGATTCTATACTTTTCAGTTCTTCAGAAGAAGTCAATTGAAGCTTTTGACACATTTGACCCCTGTGACCTTGAAAGTAAGTCAAACTAATTTTCATTCTCAAACTTTGTTTGGCTCTATCCCAGGAACCAATCAGCCAAATATGAAGATTCTATACGATTTAGTTCTTCAGAAGAAGTCGTTTGAAGTGTTTGACATATTTGACCCCTGTGACCTTTAAAGTAGGTCAAGGTCATTTTCGTTCTCAAACTTTGTAGGGCTCCTACCTACAAAGCTTTCAGCCAAATATCATGACTTTAGGCCTGTCCGTTCTTCGGTAGAAGTTTTTTAAAGGAAAAGTTGACCAACGAAGGACGGACGACGGACGCCGCACCACGACATAAGCTCACTTGCTTTCGGGCAGGTGAGCTAAAAATGAGTCCCCTTGGTCCAAGGATGCTTCAGACTAAATTAGGATAAAATCCCTTAATTCAACTCTATTTCCCCTATTGGTCCCACCCCTCTTCCCCCAGGGGGGCCACACCCACCGTTTATACAAAATTGAGTCCCCTTGGCCCGAGGATGATTCAGACTAAATTAGGATAAAATCCCTTAATCCCTACGGTAGAAGAAAGATTTTATAGATTTAACCTCTATTTCACCTATTTGGTCCCGCCCCTCTGCCTCCAGGGGGGCCACACTCACCATTTATACAAAATTGAGTCTCCTTGGCCCAAGGATGCTCCAGACTAAATAAGGATATATATATGCAAGGATCTACTTATATTTATTGTGCGCGCACTCGTGAATATATTCGTCCGCACAATAAATGAGTGCTTTCTGATTCGTCAGAAAAAGACAAGTGTGTGGTCTTGCTTTTATCACATACCTTCCATATTTGGTAGAGATCGATACAAAGATTTTATAAACTTTGATATTTTTT